CCAACCAAAAAGAAAAAAAAAAAGAAATCTATCCTGTTACCTTTCTCTCAGCTTCACTATTCTCAGGCAAACATCCCGGATCTTTTTCATTCTCCCTATTTTATTCTTCTAGGACTCTGATTACAGGATATTAGAACTTTTTATTTGTCCTTTATAGTTAAAGCTGTCTAAAAAATATTTTCCACTGGGTCATCGGTGGCTCTGGCCTATAATCCTAGCTATTCAGGAGTCTGAGATCTGAGAATCATGGTTTGAAGCCAGCCTCGGCAGGAAAGTATAATCCATGACATGCTTATTTCCAAATAGCCACTAAAAAGCTGTAAGTGGAGCTATAGCTCAAGTGGTAGAGCTCTAGCCTTGAGCAAAAAATCTAAAGGTCAGCACTCAGGCACTGAGTTTAAGTGTTAAAGCCCTAGGACCAGTACACATACACAAATTGGTTTCATATTTTATCTCCCTACCCTACCCTTCCCTTCCTCTCCCCTCCCTCCCTCTCAAGCTTTCTTCTTCTTTCTTCTAAGCCTAGATCTGAAAACACTTATAAGGCTTATCTAACATATTAAATTGCTAACTCTAAATATCTTAGCTGTCACCTCTAAGAAAAGTATTATCTCTTAATTTTTCCCCCCTGAACTTCAAAAAGGTTATACAATGGGGTTACAATTTAAAGTGTTCATTTATGTATCCAGTGCTTCTTGATCAGTCACATCTTCCATTATTCTCCCCTATCCCATCTGTTCCCACCCCTGGACTCATTTCACATTTCCCTTTTCCTTTTTCACATATGGACATTGGGTGTTCTAGCTATATTTGTCTCTTATTAATGGATGAGGAAAGTGAGGCCCAGAGAGCCTATATAACTTACCAAAGCTACATGTCTCGATGAAAGTTCTACTTCCCATTTGAGCTTGTTATAGCTGACAAATAGCTGAAGTGGCCATGTTAGTGTGCATGTAGGATATATTTCACTATCACTTTCAAACGGTGGAATTGGTGAAGGATTTAGTGTTATCATTATCACTGCTATGAAGGATATGGATCTGTGAAAGCTCTTGAATAAATTTTAATGGAAGGAGGAATCACCTTGTGAAGAGAAATGATTTTAGATTTCACTGGGTTGTGAAAAATTTTAAATCATGTAAAACATCTATGAATTTTTAGTGAAAAAAAATACAGGATAGGATTTAACTGTGCATTTTAGAAGAATAAGCTTCTAGAAAATGGAACCAATTGGTGCAAGATTGTTGAAGTGATCTGAGCTTCTGAAAAGTAAAAACAGTAAAAAGCAACCTAAACTCTAAAAAAGCAAACAAAACAGAAGCCTAAGAATTACCATTTTCCCTTTTCATTTAAAGAACACTAGTGAATGTAGTTTTAAGTTTTGTTTTAAGCTGAACATGGTGGTGCCTGTAAACCCAGAACTAGAGAGGCTGTGTGGCAGGAGGATTGTGAATTCAAGTCCAGCCTGGGCCATATAGTGAGACCTTGACTCAAAAAACAAAAAACAAATAGGAAAAAAAAACCCCAACAAATCACAACCCAGAATAAAGTGTTGCTTAAAATGCCTGTACTAGACTAATACTTAGAGAGTATTTCCTGTGTTTTCTATCTATAAAAATTCACATTTACATCTCTTGCTTTCACAGCTTTTTGGGCAGTACTGAAACCTTTCTATACAGATTGCCCACAAGGTGGAGTAATTGTAACAGGCAAATGGAAAAGTCATTCTCACAGCTTCTGAGTTTCTAAAGATTCAGAGGAAAGGTTTTAGGCTTCATCTGCACAGCTTTATCAAGGCAGTTTCTGCAGGTCTACATTTCTGTTCATTTTTAGTTGCATTTAATAGCCCTCTAATATTTTCTCTACTGTCACCACATGGTGATGGGGCAGAGATGAGAGTAAGTAATATAGCTACTAGTTAAGGAAAACTGCAGATTAACCACCACTATCCTCAGCTAGGGAGAGGCAAAGCAGAATCCTGCCTTATAGGTCTCAAAGGAAGCTGTTCTTAAAGGACCTTATTTAAAACTTACAGTTTTTAGGGCTGCAAGAAAATCAGTCTGAAATGCTTTAAGCCACCAAGATTGAGGCAATTTGTTAAGGTAGCCCTAGGAATGAATGCACTATTGGGGTATAAAAAATTTAGAGGAGGGGCTGGGAAGGTGGCTCAGTGGTAGAGCGCTTGCCTTGCATGCATGAGGCCCTGGGTTCGATTCCTCAGCACCACATAAGCAAACAGAAAAAAGCCAGAAGTGGCGCTGTGGCTCAAGTGGTAGAGCGCTAGCCTTGAGCTGAAGAGCTGAGGGACAGCGCCCAGGCCCAGAGTTCAGGCCCCACGACCAGCCCCCCCCTCCCCCCCAAAAAAATTTAAAGGCACTTCATGAAAAAACAGTCTTTTTACCTATTCCTGACATTTTTGTTTTTTTGGTTTTAAACAGCTACATTTTCATGTTTACAAATTCTATTGGATTCTATAACAAATCTGCTCAATAATCTTTATAGTTTCCTTTTGCTTTTCCTTTTTTGTGACTTTAATTCTTTACACATCTCACATTTTGTTCTTCTATATTATGTATTTGATTATCATGTCATGAATATCTTAAATCTCTAAGAGTCTAAATTTGTTATTTACTGTTCCTGCTGACAATTACTTTTGATAATTTGCTTACATATTTGGGGCAGGAAATGCTACTTATTTTGAAGGAAGAGGAATATCTTTTAGAATTTGTCATGTTGCATCAAGAAGTCCAATTGTGGCCTGGCACTAGTGGCTCACGCCTGTAATCCTAGCTACTCAGGAGGCTGAGATCTGAGGTTCAAAGCCAGCCTGGGCAGGAAAGCCCGCGAGACTCATCTCCAATAAACCACCAGAAAACTGGAAGTGGCGCTGTGGCTCAAGTGGTAGAACACTTGCCTTGAGCTGAATTTCTCAGGGACAGCGCCCAGGCCCAGAGTTCAAGCACCATGATTGACCAAAAAAAAAAGTCCAGTCAAGTTTGTGAAGTGATTTGTCATGAATGGGTTATGGGCATGCTGAGACACAACCTCTCAGCAGGTTAATCACCTCTAGTTATGAGCTTTGCCTCTCTTTATATACTAGGGATAAGAAAATAAGTCAAGTGATTGAAGGGCTGGAAATGATTTGAGATGGTTAAGGAATGGTTTTGCTTCTTAAAAGCAAGAAGGTACCTAATGTTCAATTAACACTGGAAGTTATCTTCAATTAACAATAAAAATGTTAACCTTAGGTTGTTATCTTTAGTATCCAAAGGCCTATTAAGTGCTCAATTAAGTTTATTATTCATATTAATGTTTTGAACTGAAATGACTTTATACAAAAAGATAAGGTCTGATAAATACTATTATTCAATGTTTTATTCTATTTTTTATTTTATTTTTCAGTATTAAGGTTATGATCTCACATTTTCTAGACTGGTGCTCTACCACCTGACCTATGCCCACAACCCTGCTTTTTGTTGGTTATTTTGGAGGTGGAGCCTTGAAGACTTTTCTGCCTCAAACCATAACTCTTCTGGTTTCAGCCTTCTGAGTAGCTGTAGTTATAGGCTTGAGTCACTGGTACCCAGCCTGGGGGTGGGGAAAAGGCTCTTTATATAATCCAGGCTGGCCTTGAACTCTTGATCCTCCTGCCTCAGCCTTATGAGTGCTGAGAGTGTAGATATGTACTACCATGCATGGTTTAGAGACATCTTTCAAGCTAATTTGCAATCCCAACACTTTATTTCAGCTGGCAAAAATGTAGAGCTGCTATGGAAAACAATAGAGGGTTTCCTCAACAAATTAAAATAGAACTACCATATCATCAGCAATAGCACTTTTAATATTTATACAAAATAATTGAAATCAGAATCTTTTTGTTTTCTGTCAGTCGTGAGGCTTGAACTCTGGGCCTGGATGCTGTCCCTGCACTCTTTAGCTTAAGGCTAGTGGTCTACCATTAGTCCCAGTGCCACTTCTGGTTTTCTGGTGGCTAATTGGAGATAAGAGTCTCATGGACTTTCCTGCCTGGCCTGGCTTTGAACTGTGATCCTCAGATCTCAGCCTCCTGGGTAGCTAGGATTACAGGCGTGAGCTACCTGGCTTGAAATCAGAATCTTGACAGGATAATAGCATACTAATATTAACTAATGCATTATTTTCAATAGCCAAGATGTAGAAACACTACAAAATTCCCAGTAACAGACAAATGGCTATTTCCCACTCAGAAAGTGTGGAAGAGTATTTCTAAACTCCCTGACTTGTGACTGTTCCTTGTTTCTAGGTCTTCAGAGTAGTTCAGTCCTAATTAATTGGCCTCCTTTCAAGGTGACTCCTATCATTGAGGATTAGAAATTTCCTCAGTGTGATTCTGAATGAGAAGAGTGAGGGCAAAAGAGTGGCAATATTCTGAAGGGAGTAAGAGCATCAAGAATCAAAACAGAGGTGACAGGACAGCTAAAAACACATGGAGAAACAAGATAAGACAGAGAAAGCTAGGATACTATCCATAGCTCTAACCTGGCTTGTGAGGGGTGGATGGGGGGGGGGGAGCTGAAGCCACAAACTCAAAGTAAGCCAGACAGCTCTAGTGTTAACACACTGGCAGTCCTAGCTGCAGGAGGAACCCAAAGTTCCGTAGTAGAGTCCTAGGTCCAGTGCAGAGATATTGTGTGACAATGAGTCTCCCTGTGTGGCAGGCTAGAATTGGAGAAGGGGTCAACTATTTGGGACTGAGCTACACTGTAGACCTGAAAACAAGGAATAATCACAAGTCAGGGGTCTGGGGCTCAATTTACCTTTTATAATTGATGTTAAGATTGGCAGTCATGACAATTCCCCCAGCTCTAGCTGCACATTTACCAAGAGCAACATCAATGATGGATGCAGTGGCACCTCCGTGAAGGAATCTAGTTACACAGCAGAGGAAGGAAAATGTTTTCAGAAGTTCAGGAAGCAGAAAGCCTCTTAAGAGGCAGAAGTCACACCAGCATCTTCTTATCACTACTTAGGAGTAGCCTGCTTAATATCCCAAGTTTGGTGTATTGAATGTCAAGTAATACTCAGGCCCCAACTTTGTTCATGGCATAATGGGGCAGGCTTACATATTTGTGGTAAATTTGGAACTTAAGAGTAATAATGAATTTACGATAAATAAAAAGATCCAGTATAATTTAGAACATTCACATATGATTTTTATTAAATAAGCTACACTCATTTATTGTTTTTTGTAAAAGCTTCAGAAATGCAGATAAATTCTATGCCTCCACCAGAAAGAATGACATTGCCCCATTTGTTAGGAAATGGAAAGGCTTGGAAAAAATTATATTAAGTGAAGTAAGCCAGGCCCAAAGAAACATAAGTCCCATGTTTTCCCTTATTTGCAATATCTAGTGTATGTCTGAGTCGAGCAGAAAAGGTCAGATAAGGTGATGTTAGGGAAATGAACCCCAAGATAAGGATTCAAATGTTTTTTTTTTCTTTCATGCAATTGTTTCTAACACATTCATAAGAATATTTCTTTGTTGCTTTGTATGTCCCTCCCCCACAGTATAACCCCTGCTTTCACTGTATTTGATGTCGGTATAATTTGTGGAGGGGAAGGGGAAAAACAAATCGTTTAAATAGGGATACAGGTGGACCCATTGCAACAATGAGATGTACAAGTCGTTATGTCAAAAACGAACGTTACAACTTTGGTGGGGGGGAGGGGGGTCGGGGAGGATTGGGTGGGGGTGGTGGGGGAGGATGGGAAGGGATGGGAAGGGAAAAAAGATAAAATATTAAAAATAAAAAAGAAATGCAGATAAATAGAAGAAAAGCAATTTAAGGCTTATAACAGGTCAGTGTCAAGCTACTGTTATCATGCTCGTGGTATTCCCTCTAATTATACTCCATTACTATGTGTTCTACAATAATATATTACATATGTCCTTTAATAGCATATTGAAATTTAATAAGAATTAACAATATAATAATGTTTAGCACTGTATTATAAACATCTTTCCAAGTCAATAAGTTTATCTACATTACCATTTTAATGCCTTCTTTGTAGTCTCTGCAGTCATAAAGATGTTCGGAGATAAAGTCTTTCATATACACACTGCTAGGTTATCACTCTTACCCAGGTACTCCTTGCAGGAAAGGACCTCCTTGAAAAAGGCAAACAGTCTTTTTTTCAACATCATTACAGAAGACCACATATTCAAAGCCCATGCCATCCTCAAAGCTCCTGGTGAAGAGTTGGCTCTTTAACATATATTCTTCTTTGCTATAACTTGGGTCTGTAGGGAAATGAAGTGAGTGGGTACAGGTGGTGAAAAAAATGTATGAGAGAAATGCCATATAAGCATCTATGTTCTGCTAAAATCACATGTTGATGGATGATTGATTAAAATGTTACTTAAGTATAAAACTAAAAGCAATAAAAGGTTTCTAAGAAGTAGAATATAAGATCTAGGCCCTTGTGGAATTACTAGTCTAGGAACAGAGTAAACATAACATAGAAACTTATCAACACATGACAATCAAGAAATATATACATGCTAATAAACTGAACAAAATGGTAAGGTACAGACAGAATTTCTTCTTGGAGCAAGTGAGGCTTAAATGGATTTAAGTAAGGATTTTTCTTGACAGGTATGAGTTTTACCTGCTATCTCTCACACTTGTTAATCAGACTTTTAAAAGCAACAAAATAGCTGGGTGCCAGTGGCTCATACTTGTAATCCTAGCTACTCAGGACGTTGAGATCTGAGGATCACAGTTCAAAGCCAGCTCAGGCAAGAAAATCTGTGAGGCTCTTATCTTCAATTAACCACGAGAGAACTGGAAGTGGTGCTATGGCTCAAGTGGTAGAGTGCTCGCCTTGAGCTGAAGAGTTGAGGAATAGCGCCCAGGCCCAGAGTTCAAGCCCCATGACTGACAAAAAAAAAAAAAAAGCAACAGAATATTTCAGATATATTTTAAGTATTAGAGTACTTGCTTATTATGGTTTCTTCACCTAAAAAACTGTGTGCAAATTGGATGTCACAGGCTGAGTAAAAATGTAGATCATTTCAAAATAAAGGCAGAAAGCCACTGCTGATAAAGGATGTATTTGTCTTTTGACATCTAATTTGAAATGTATTGTTTATATCATGGCTTTTCCCCCGCCTAGTCCTGGGGTTTGAACTTGGGGCCTAGGCACTGTCCCTGAGCTTCTTTTGTCAAGGCTAGAGTTTTACCTGTTGAGCCACACGCGTGAGCCACCGGCACCCGGCTCACTTAAAGTTTTTTTAACATTTACAATTTTAATTAAAAACAATTATAATTTGTGCTGCAGGCAGTTGGACTCAGATTCACATGTAAGGCAAGTGCTCCATCATTGAGCAGGACCCTCAGCTTTTAAAACTTAAATTTTTTGAGACAGGATCTTGTACATATCTCAGGCTGGTCTTGAACTCACAATCTTCCTGCCTCAGCATCCTGAGTTCAGGGATGATAGGCATATGCCACAATATCCAGTGTTAAAAATTTTTGCTGGGTGCTGGTGGGTCACACCTGTAATCCTAGCTACTTAGGAAGCTGAGATCTGAGGACTGCCATTCAAAGCCAGCTTGGGCAGGAAAGTTCATGAGACTTTTATCCATAATTAACCACCAGAAAACTGGAAGTGGTGCTGTGGCTCAAGTGGTAGATCACTCACCTTGAGCTGAATTGCTCAGGTAGGCTGGCTTAGTGGTAGAGTGCTTGTGTGGCAGGCATGAAGCCCTGGGTTTGTTCCCTCAGTACCACATACACAGCAAAAGCTGAAGTGGTGCTGTGGCCCAAGTGGTAGAGGCCTAGCCTTGAGCAAAAGAAGCTCAGGGATAGTGTCCAGACCCTGAGTTTGAGCCCCAGGACTGGCAATAAATGATTGGCCTATAAAACCAGAGACTATAGAAACCTCTATACTGTTCTCTTTCTCTTCAGATGGAGATTGTTTTTTTCCCCAGGCTGGCCTTGAACTTGTGATCCTCCTGTGAAATAGCTTGGATTACAGGTAGAAACTACTATGTCCTCCTGTTCCTTCTCTTTTTAGGTAATAACCAGTTCTTCAATATGTTCTTAGTTTTATACTCGATATTCAAATATTATTATTAATGGGCAAATGACTGTTCCTACCTATAAATTGGGTTTGGAAGTCTTTAAGGTGTTCAGGAGGAAGTTTTCTATATGAAGACAAACGTTTCCAGGAGCCATCTTCACATTTCTTCATAAACTGGTCAAAAAGGAATCGTAGGTCCTTGCTCCAGCTGGGGTTGGGAACAGCATGGTCCTTATGAGTAACTTTCTCAGAAGAAAATGACCTCTTTAAAAAAAAAGAAAAAGAAGAAGAATATCATATTTCATGACATTTCCTCCCACTTTCTAAGATTATTTTTGTTGATTGTTTTTTTCTTCACAGAAAACTATTTTAGAATGGAAAGGACCTTTCTACCTTTGCTGCCACCATGGCAACTGTGAAAAAGCTTGTGGTGAAGGTGTGGGGTGGGGGTGGGGGCCGCAGGCGGGCGGGGAAGAAGCAGGTTCTGAAGTTCACTATGGACTGCACCCACCCTGTAGAAGATGGAATCCTGGATGCTGCCAATTTCTCCAAGAAAGAATTAAAGTGAACAGGAAAGCTGGACATCTTAGTGGAAGAATTATCACCATTGAGAGAAACAAGAGCAAGATCACTGTAAACTCTGAAATGCCTTTCTCCAAAGGTATTTGAAATATCTCACCCAAAAATATTCGAAGAATATCTGATTGGTTACACAGAGTTATGGTTTACATCCCTTCCAGATTAACCAGGACAAAGGAGGAAGATAAGGATTAAAATTCAACTATCTGAACTATATTGTATGTGTTCTTGAATAAAACTTGGGAACACTTCCAAAAATAGAATAAAATAAAATGGAAGATAATTTTAGAGATGACTTGGTCCCACCCTCTGGAAAGAAGTATATTTATGTATATATATTTATATGTAAATATCTATCTGTCTAGTTGCTGGGATGTAGCTCAGTGGTGAAGTAAAAGCTCTGTTCTCAATCTCCCACACCAAAATATGTGTATATGTTTAAATTATTGTAAACTATAGTCAACCTTCTGTGCTGTAGGATATTAGTCCCTATACCTCTTACCTAACTGTATTTTGGTTGTTTATCCAGTCTTTCTTGATTCCCACTTTTTGTCCATTTCTTTTAGTTTATAGTAATTACTTTCTCTCTGCTTCTATGATATTAACATTTTTTAGCTTCTACATTAGTAAGAACATGGTATTATTTTGCTGTGTCTCCTCTAAGGTTTTTTTTTTTTTTTGTCAGTCATGGGGTTTGAACTCTAGGCCTAAGTACTGAACCTGAGCTCTTCAGCTCAAGGCTAGCTTGCTACCACTTGAGCCACAGTGCCACTTCTGGCCTTTATTTCTGTTTATGTAGTGCTGAGGAATGGAACCCAGGGCCTCATGCATGTGAGGCAAGCGCTCTACTGCTGAGCCACCTTCCCAGCCCCTCTAATTTTTTTTATTGTAATTTTTCTTAATGTACTTGGAATCTCAATAAGAAATATATTTTGTTTTCTGCTTTCATCACTTTATCATTCAGGTTCTTAATCTTAAGTTATCATCACTGTGTGTGTGTGTGTGTGTGTGCGGATGCATGTATGTACGTGCTCCAGAACTGGGGCTTAAACTCAGGGACTGGGCATTATCCCTGGGCTTTTTGGCTCAAGGCTAGCACTCTCTCACTTGGGCCACAACTCCACTTTTGACTTTTTTGGTATTTAATTGGAGATAAGAGTCTCAGACTTTCCTGCTCAGGCTGGCTTTGATTTGAGATCCTCAGATCTCAGCCTCCTGAATAGCTAGGATCTGGAATCTGGCATCTGGCTCTTCACCATTTTTTTTAACAGCCTGTGAATCCACATACTGTAATCTACTTAAGCATTTAAGTCAGACACTGAAATTATTTTCAGCTGAGCACTGGTGGCTAATGCCTGTAATCCTAGAAATTTAGGAGGCTGAGATCTGATGATTGTGATTCAAAGCCAGCCTGGGCAGGAAAATCTGTAAGACTTATCTCTAATTAATGGCCAGAAAATTGGATGTGGAGCTGTCACTTAAAGTAGTAGAGTTCTAACCTTGAGCAGAAATGCTCAGAGACAGTGCCCAGGACCTAAGTTCAAGCCCCATGACCAGAAAAAAAATGGTTCTCAATATTGTGCTGCTGTGAATGAAAATGTTCATTGGAATATTATGAATATAGTCTTTTTTCTCTTTTGGAGCTAATATGCAACATATATATGTAAATACATGTATTTCTTTTGTCAGTCGTGGGACTTGAACTCTGGGTCTGAATGCTGTCCCTCAGCTCTTCAGTTCAAGGCTAATGCTCTACCACTTGAGCCACAATGCCACTCAGATTTTCTGAGTGGTTTATTGGAGATAAGAGTCTCATGGACTTTCCTGCCGGGGCTGGCTTTGAACTGGGATCCTCAGATCTCAGCCTCCTGGGTACCTAGGATTACAGGCATGAGCCACTGGCACCCAGCTATGCAGCTTTTAGAGTACATGAATTCTAGAAGTAACTCCAGACATAACTCATTGTAGATTAGTTTGTACTGACCAATACAAGTCAAATGAGTATAACGTGTATAGGTTTAGAATCATGAATTTGGGCTCATTTCATCCAGATTTTCTCCTAAATAGAAAATCTCAGGATCAATTGGTCCCAGCACCCTTTTATGGGCCAGTGAATACAGCTAATTAATGGCATTTAGGGATTAGAATGACTCTCTGGGATCTCCTTTTTGGTTTTAATTTTTATAATCAGGATTTAGTAAAATTCAACAGTTTTGGAAGCCTATTATATGGACTGATTCGTGTTTTTTTTTTTTTCAGTCGTGGGCTTGAACTCTGGGCCTGGGCCCTGTCTCTCAGCTCTTCAGCTCAAGGCATGCGCTCTGCCACTTGAGCCACAGCACCACTTCTGGTTTTCTGGTGGCTAATTGGAGATAAGAGTCTCACAGACTTTCCCGCCTGGACTGGCTTTGAACTGCGATCCTGAGATCTCAGCCTCCTAGTAGCTAGGATTACAGGTGTGAGCCACTGGTGCGTGGCTGTCCTGATTGTTTACCAGGGACAAGTAAGACAAAGAGAAAACATCTGGGCCCTGTCTTCAAGTACTACAAGAGAAGTCAGTATAGAGAGTGCTTTCTGAGAACACCTCAAAATGATGGTGTGATTTCTTGAGAGAAGGAGAGGGCTGTTCTCAGCAAAGGTACAAAGGATGAAACAACTGTCTGACACACTTGGGAACTCTTAGTGTTTTAGACCTAATAGATGGAAGATGCAAAGGGGAGTGCAAATTGTAGTTGGCAAAAGAGAAGAGGGATCATGCCACAGAAGCCCTAGTACAGGACTTAGATTTCATCTTCCAAAGACAAAATGAAAGGTAATTTTAGGTGCAACAAGGACAAATATACTTGTTTTTTTAAATGTATTATAAAATATTTACACATTGTATACTATATGCACATATTTAACATTATGAAAGGAGATAAACAGCATTTGCACTTGTGATTTCAAGGAATTTAAAGAATCACAAAGTTAACTGGTGTTGCAGCTCAGGGAGGTAATCTTTAGCTACTTTGGAAGGCAGAAATGGGGAAGATCAAGGTCTGAGGCCAGTTCAGTCTACCCCCTACCCCCCACCCTCCAAAAAAAAAAGAAAAACAAGTAGACTCCATGTTGGTCAATGGTTGGGTACAATGGCATGCACCTGTTATCCTGGTAATGACAGGAAGTACAAATTGAAGCCCAAGCTAGTCCTGTCTGAAAAATAACCAATCCAAAAAAAAAAAAAAAAGGCAGGGTTGGGGGCTGGTAGAATTGCTCAAATGGCATGAGGTCTTAGTAACACCCAGAACCACCACCACTACCACAAAATTGTAAAGGCGAGAATGAATGATAAAACACCTTTATTCATTAAGAAGTTTTAAGCAAGAAAATAATCAGAACATACATTACAGGGCTGGAGATGTATCTCCTCGGTAAAGGGCCTGCCTAGCAATCAAGAGGCCCTAAGTTCAAATCTCAGTACTGCCTCCCCCTCAAATAATAATAAAAAGAAAAGTTTAAGAGATAATTAGGACATTAGAACCAACGGATAAGGGTAGTTACTAAGTGGGAAGAGAAAGCTGAACAGTCAGGTGTTATCAGAGTTGTGGTTTAGAAGACAGATGGTTATAAGAAAAAGGGTTTTGCTGGTGCAAGTATGAGTAAGAATGGAATTACTAATTTTTATTTGAGGCATAGTACATTTGTTACACCAGGTGGAGATTATAATGTGGAAAAAAACAATGGAAGTTTTAGTACAAAGATATGAGAACTAAAAGATACTTGCAGTGAGTGCAATTGTAAACTTACAGTTACAGATTATGGATGCTTGAGGGATAGATGTTAGGGATAATCATTACCTTTTATTTTTCTAAAGAGGAACGTTCATGCTTGATCTTTGTAATATAAAGGTTATATGAAGGTTATAAAGGTGGAACTTGTAAGAAAAGTTACGACTTTTAAAGAGTAGTTACTAAACAGAAAGAAGCATAATTATATGGCCCGGGAAAACTCCCTGTAAGCTTAAGTTACTGAACAAAAAGAAGTGTAACTTAAATAGCCTGTAAATACTGATACTTAAATATTCTCAGCACAGATTACAGGGCATCAACATATAATTAAAGAAATTAATTCATCTTTGTTGTTGTAAGACTAACACATTTTATTTTTCCAATGAGCAAGAGGGTGGATCGTTAATAACCAATCTGCACTGATTCTGATTTAGCAGAAAGCTACAAAAGATGAATAGAGATGCCATATTTGCCTAAACTACTGAAGTCCTTAAGTTTTGCTCAACCTGTCCCCTTCATCTGTGTTTCCTTGGTAACGTAACAGTACATACAGTACACAGATATTGTAATTTTGCAGTTTGAATTTTAGCCCTATTCCCCCAAACTAGTCTGTATGCTCCATGAAAGTAAGGATTTTTTTTTTTTCTCCCCTTACTTATCCCACATCACCAGTACTCAATAATGCCTGGAATAATGCTGGAGCTAACTAAACCAGTACTACTGGACTACAATAAGGAAACAAACTAGGGATGTAAGAGCAGGCCAACATTTATTTCACACTTATGTTCCAGGCATTACCTTAAATGCGGGCATTACCTCACGGAATCTTACAGCAATCTTTAATCGGCAAGGAAACTGGCTTAGAGAGGGTATAGTTGATTACCTGATATACTCACAACCCTTCTATCTTTGATCAAGTTAGTTGTGTTCTCAGAAATAGGACAAGTCGGGGCCTATCAGGATTATAGCCTCGGAAGGCGCTCTTCTCCTGGGATCTGCAATGGTTGAGCCCCAAGGTTTGCTCTTGCACGTGTTTTCTGGGTGACCTCGCTTAACTTTTTTTGGTTGGTCATGGGGTTTGAACTCTGGGCCTGGGCGCTGTCCCTCAGCTCTTCAGCTCCAGGCGAGCGCTCTACCGCTTGAGCCACAGCACCACTCCTGGTTTTCTGGTGGTTTATTGGAGATAAGAGTCTCACGATCTTTCCTGCCCGGGCTGGCTTTGAACCGCGATCCTCAGATCTCAGCCTCCTGCGTATGCCAGGCGTGAGCCACCCGGCTCACTTTTCCTTCTTAATACTAGCAGCGGTGGTGGGTCTCCTCTAGCTGACCCAACCCAAGCATCCAGCACGCCGCGCCCGCGCACCTTCAGGGCCGCAAAGAATTCCTAAGTCCGCCGGCCCCGGCGGTCGGTCCGGGATCCCCTGGCTAGGTAATCGATGAAGAACTAAAGGGAATTATCCAGGTTGCTACCCACCGCGTGTCTCGCCTCCGCCCTGGCCCACAGCGCGCCGGAGACTCACCCACACCTCTACGCTCCCGCTCCGGAGAGTGCGCAGGTGCGTGGCGCCGCTTCTCAGCATGGCTCGGGGCGCCGACTGGCTGCAGACTTCACCTTCCCCAGAGAAAAAGCGGACTCGCTCCCAAGTGAGCCGGCTCCCAGCTAGGCTTCGTCCGGCCAGCGGCTGGCGGAGGGGCGGGGCTTGTCAGAGGGCGGGGCCTGGCTGGAGGTGGGCGGGGCCTCCTGGCGGGAAGCGCCGGGGTGGGGGGAGAGGTGAGGGGGCGTGGCAGCGAGCCTCCGCCGGCCCACTGACTAGGTGCCTCAGCGTTTTCGTTCCGGAAGACTTCCGGATTTCTGGAAGGGTCGCGTCGCCCTGCGGCTCAAGTTCGGGGAGCGAAGGCCGGACCCGCCCGCAGTTGTGGACTTAGCCCGCTCAGTCCGAGTGCGGGAGTGGCGAGTCGCTGTTCGTGGGGCTAGCCGTTATTCCTCCTGCCTGTGGGGGGCAGATTCCGCGTTCCGGTTCCTTAAGTAGTTATTTCTTCATCCGGTGCACACTCTTTAAGTCCCCGGGTTGACCGGAGCGCGGGTTAGGGGCGGTGTGAAGAACACGTCTTCCTCGTGAGGCCGTGGGCTCGCGATCCCGGGGACCGAGTTGGTGGTATTGATGTATGTATGCTCTGCAGGGTGCAGGGCGTTTGTACCGCTCAGATCCCGAGCCTGCCCGGGTTACAGTGAGGACCCTGTGCACTTGGGGCCCCGCCCAAACTCAGGAGCACGTGGCTGGTGTGTTAAAGGGTCGTCACTAGCTTTACTCTGGTTGTTCCGGGGTGCAGGCGCAGTGAGGCCCCTCAGTCCACAGTAAAAAATGTAGATTGTATTGAGCGGAAAGTACTGACGCGCTGGGGCCGCTCCAGGAGCCGGGAATGGGGGGGGGGGCTGGGTGTTGGTTTTACCCAAGAAATTCACACCTTACGTTTAAATTTCCCGCCAAGGTTTTGCTGGTTGGGGAATAGAACAAGGGGTGGAGATGCCCCAGCTTGGTTCCTGGGCGCATTATATCAGAAAATAGCAGAAGCAGAGTTACGGAAGCTAAAATAGCTAGTCAGTTACCAGGGAAGGCTTATCCACGGAAAGCACAGTTACAGTTGTATCTTAAAATCATTCATGATCCATTTCATACATTCCAAGTCAAATATTATAGTCCATCCTGACTTCCCCAAATCAAAACCTGAGCTCAAATTGCCTCCCCGCCCCCACTTAAGAACACGATGTACAAACTTCTAGTGCTCCTGGCCTCTGTTACCCCTTGGGAAGACGGAAAAGAATGTTTAACAGATTTAACCATTGCAAAAACCTCTTTCAGGTAATGTGTTCCCAGGCTAGTGGTTCACTGGAGTTGGCTTAAATAGCCCCATGGGAACCTGTTGAAATCTCAAAAATTTGTCTAGCCAGTTCTCAAGCATGGGCATTAAACTTTAAGTGATAACTGGGTGCAGTGTTATACTCCAGGAGTTCTCCACCTGCCTGGGCCACAAAGTAAATCCCTGTTAGGTAGATTTCATCCCTGCGAGCCTGAGCAGCCTGATAGACCCATTCATGCTCTTCGGTAGTAATAAAAGTGGACAAGTCATTGGAAAAGGAACCCAGATAGGTCTGCCAAAGAAAAGGGCACATGGACCTGGACCAGACCCTCGGGCCCAGCCACCTCTTGGAAGGGGAGTAAGTTGGCTGATGGTTTAGTCGGGGCCAGAGTATGGCCAGCCATGGGGGAAGGGAGGTCTACAGTAGAGGCTGGAGCAGAGGCCAGCCCAGAGATCTGTAAGTCAGGGTTAAGTCCAGGGGCTGGGGCTGGAGTTAAGGAGCTGGAGGCAGCCCTTAGGGTGGAGCTATGTGGTGGCGCATAAGGTGGTGGTCTGCTGCAGGTGGGGCCGAGTCAGGGAGGTCATCAAGGGCATCAGAAGAAGAGGGGGTAGGGAGAAGGGTTTTGGAGGGTTGTTGTCAAGTAAAATTTCAGAGGGGGAGCAGGAGAGGCAGAGGGAGGAACAGGAGTGTAAGTAGAAGAATTCTTGGACATACAGAATTTCAGCCCAGGGCTGGGAAGGTGGCTCAGTGGTAGAGTGCTTGCCTTGCATGCATGAGGCCCTGAGTTCGATTCCTTAGCACCAAAAAAGCAGAAAAAAAGCCAGAAGTAGTTCTGTGGCTCAAGTGGTAGAGCACTAGCTTTGAGCTGAAGAGCTGAGGGACAGCGCCCAGGACCAGAGTTCAGGCCCCACGACCGGACACCCCCCCAAAAACCCCCAAAATTTCAGCCCACTTTCCCATTCGCTCACAGAAACTGCAGAGGTCAGTCAATATGTTAAAACTGAAAGTCCCATTTTCAGGCCAGTGCGACCGGTTATTGAGCTGGTACATAGGCCATTCCCAGTTACAGAGGAAGATCAGTCTTCTTGGTCTAAGGTCAGGTCTAAGGCCTAGAGATTTGAGGTTAGCCAATAAGCAACCCAAAGGAGTATGTAGGTCAGGTTTGGAATTTTGGTTTCCCATGGTGCCCAGGCAGCCTGGGGTAAAACTAAGGCTGAAGAAGGTGGTTCTGTCTCAGCCCAAGCGTTACCAAGGAAGCAGAGGCAACAGAGAAGTCCACATCCCTGGTTATTCTCAGTGCGGGCGGGCTGGCGGGCTGGCAAGGGTGGGGGCAGCGGCCAGAGGGAGACTTGGGCAGGAGCTTGTGACTTTTACAGACAGATATGAGTTTCCTGAGAGCAGGCCAGGACACCATGGAGAGTAGGTGGGGACTCACCCAATCCGAATGTGGTGGGTGCTCAGAAGGCCAGGCTGAGGTCCTGGTCCGACAAGGAGGGAGAGACAGACAGACAGACCGACCGACCGACAGAGAGAGACAGAGACAGAGAGAGAGCAGAGCACGTGAACAGAGGTAGAGGTCTCAGCTGGGTTTACAAGGATGACCAATAACATCCCACGCCACCTCCGTCCATGGGATATGTATTGCATATGGGGGCAGAGGCCACGGGATCTGTCAAGTGGTTGTTTAGCCCAAAGTAAACTCGGTGGGCTTCGTGCTCCCAAGAGGCCTCAGGAAAAGGAGAGGAAAAGAGAGACCAAGAGGAGGCAGTGCCCGTGGGTCTCTCAAGGGGGAAGCGAAGCACTATGGCCTTCCTGGGTTTCTGCACCAGATATAAGGTTTTAGGAAAGAAAAGGACCACATAGAGAGCAATAAAAAGATTGACGGGAAAGTTTATTGGGGTACGTCCCCTGGCCAACTCCCAAGTTGGGATCAGAGAGGTCATGCTGAGTTTGGTTGTTGCAGTTTTTATAGGCAGGGTAAAAGCAGAACTTGTAGTAAGCAGGGACTTGTAGCACGAAGCTTGTTTTGCCTGTTTGAACATCTTTCTCAGTAGCAGCCTGTTTTTTTTTCCCCAGTGGCCTGATAATCCCCCCCTTTACTTCCTCCAGCAACCGCCTAAAATTATTCTATTGTCAAATTTCTAATCCTAAGTAACTACTTACAGACATGCTGGTAGCTCTTGCTGGGAGGAAATTCTTCACCCAGTGTTCTGATTCTGCATTCATTAACTTCCTAAATGGCTCCAATCACCAGCCTCTCAATATACCCTATTTAGTCCTGGAACAGCTCAGGCATCAAGGAGACGCCATACCATGTGTCTCCACGTTCGCGTCCTGTGGCTTGTCTTCTGTCTCGTTCTTCTCTGGTCACCATGGCGTCCCACTTCAGCTCTCCATTTGAGCTGAATTGGTGTTGCTATTGTTTTTGTTCTTTCTATCCTCTCTGGCCTATTTCCTAACTGTATTAAGTGTATCAACAGCTTCCAAGATTTGATCCTTCAAAATGTGGCTTCTCCTTTTTCCCACCTTATTGAACTTGGATCCATCCAGCACCCCTCATGTCATAGAAATGCCAGGTGCTAGGATATCAAGGGAAGAAACAACATCATCAGCCATCCCATCCACCCCACACAAATAACATCTAAGCCATTTCCTCTTGGGGTGGGTTTAGGAACAGCAGCCCTGCCAGACTGGCCCCTGTCTGATCAGATATTGGCAACTTAAAAAAATACCAATATGGTGCTGGCTTCGGCAGCACATATACTAAAATTGGAACGGTACAGAGATTAGCATGGCCTCCGCACAAGGATGATACACAAATGCGTGAAGCGTTCCATATTTTTGTGAACAAGACTTTATGTCGAAAAACAAACTTTAATTTGCAATATCTAGTATATGTCTGAGTCAAGCAGAAAAGGTCAGATAAGGTGATGTTAGGAAAATGAATCCTAAGATATGTATTTAAATGTTTTTTTTCTTTCATGCATTTGTTTCTAACGCATTTATAAGATTATTTCTTTGTTGCTTTGTATGTCCCTCCCCCACAGTATAAACCCTGCTTTCACTGTATTTGATGTTGGTATAATTTGTGGAGGGGAAGGGGAAAAACAAGTCGTTTAAATAAGGATACAGGTGGACCTATTGCAACAATGAGAAGTACAAGTTATCATGTCAAAAAAGAACTTTACAACTTTGGTGGGGGGGAAAGGATTGGGTGGGGGAGGGGGGGAGGCTGGGAAGGGATGGGAAGGATAAACAATGGAGGAAGCTACAATGCTTGATAAGAAATGTACTCACTATCTTGCCTATGTAATTGTAACCCCTCTGTACAGTATTTTCACAATAAAAAATAAAAAAAGAAAAAAAAAGAAAAATGGACTTTACTACTTTGGCCGGTGGGGGGAAGTGGGGGAAGAGGAGAGCAGTGGGGGGGGGGGGGAGATGGGAAGGGATGGGAAGAGGAAACAAAGGAGGAGGCAACAATGCTTGATAAGTAATGTACTCATTACCTTGCCCATGTAATTGTAACCCCTCTGTATGGTATTTTCACAAACACATACACACAATACCAGTATGGAGACTCCTTCTTGGAGTTCTTGCCAGACCACGTGCATTATAACATCTGGTTTCACTTGTCCCAAACTTTTGTCCGAGGCAAGAACTGGAGATGGGACATGTGCTCAGGCCCTGCCTGGTTCTGGTGTGCAAACCTGCAGCAGATAAAAATACCCTCTATCAAGTCCTTATGTCGAAAAACGAACTTTATAACTTTGGCCAGGGGTGGGGTGGGGAGATGGGAAGGAATGGGAAGGGGAAACAAAGGAGGAGGCAACAACGCTTGATAAGAAATGTACTATCATTATCTTGCCCATATAATTATAACCCCTCTGTACGTATTTGTACAAAAAAATGTCTGCTGGCTCCTATAATTGGGGAATACCTTCACAGGAAGGACAGCAGATGTGATGTTATGCACGCCCCTCCCCAGATTATAATGCCAGAAAACAACACTTGTGCTCAGGTTGTACAACTTTGTACCAGCTATGAACATCTTATATGCTAAGGGCCATGTTTCCTTACTCAATGGCTGGTTTTAACCTGTGAGAGTTACACTCTTAATTATATCCCTGCCAGTCTGCTTCATAACTCCCAATGCTGCCTAAGCCATCTAGCTGTTGTACCGCCCCACAAGGAGCTCTTCCAGTGCTGAATGAGAACTGTACATTACCTTCACTTTTTCCTTGCTTGGGATACCAGGGCTGGTTGGTGGGAGTCTATATATTTGGTATGCATAGTGGCAAAAAGCATTAACTATACCTCCTCTGCCGTTGCACTGCTATTCTTGACAATCACATTGCCTGGATTACTCTTACTCCACCACCAAGGGTGTGAGGAGATTAAAAACATGTGCTGCTGTGTCCTAACTGATGGCAGCTATGCCATCAAAGAACAACACATACATCTCAGAAAACTTGAGGAAAATATCCAACAGATTGAAGGGGAATGGGACCTATTCCAGTGGCTTACTCCCTGGCTCATGCCTGTCTTGGGTCCCTTAACTGCAATTTTTGCCTCATACTAATTGTGTCTTGCCTATTCAGGTGCATGAAGAACATCCTTATGGGAAAGATAAGACTTTTCACCAATCAGCTGGTCGATCAGATGCTCATAGGAGGGTACCCAGTCGAGTGTCCCCCGTTAACCACTTTGCCCCTTTCGCAGCAAGAAGCAGCTCCAGAAGAAATGACCTTCGCCCCTGCTCCTGACCTGGTGCCATCCTCATCCAATTATTAAACCAAAGAGTGGGGGATGTTAGCTCAGAAGCCTCCTCCCTCATGGCTTAACATGCTCTTTCCCCAGGCAACACTAGGCCCGTGTAGTTAAGGCAGCAAATGATCAGCCCCTACCGCCCTTTTCCTCAAAAAGCACCCTGTTGGGGTAAGGCAGCAAGATCCTCCAAATCCTAGAGGTTATAAACGACTGCCTGAGACAATAGCTGGCACTTCTCACTTCCTCTCAGCTGGTGAGATGGGGTCTTGCCAGTCCCCTAACTGGCAATAAACCTTTCCTTTGTTCTTCCTACTTGAATGTCCCCGTGGTTTTCTGGCTAAATCTAATTTACTCTAACAGTGGTGCATGGGCCAGGAATCCAACCCGGGCCTCCCATGTGAGGTGAGAATCCTACCACTGAACCACTCAGTCATGATGTTCCTGTAACTCCTAACATTATTTGAGTAATTTTTGGTGTCTTCAGCATTGAATGGAGAAGAGAGAGATTAGGTAATTTTAGAATTAACAACATTATCAGTTTTAGACAAATAGTCCTTAAATGATTAATATTTTTACTTGAAGAGTTGAGTAGAAATCTGATGGAAAGGCTAAGGTAGGAAAAGGAAATAGATGCACTATGAAGGCAGAGATGTTAACCTTTTTCTTGTATTTTCTTGTGTTTGCAATGCCGTTGCCGTTAGTACTTTCAGCAAAAGCAGATGTTACGTCTTGAATAATGTGAAAGTCAACTAAAAACCAAATGAAGCTGGAGACTTACGCAAAATTTTCTTCAGTTACAGTTTGATTTAGAAGCTTTTATATCTGCCTGTCTCTCCTCAGCCTTTTTGAACTTATGAAATACTGTATAAACATCTTAATACCATTTGTGCTGCTACTCTAATATCTGTGTCAGTTACAGATTTTAAAAATAATTAACTTGCTGGGGGCTGCAGGCTCACACCTATAATCCTAGCTAATCAGGAAACTGAGATCTGAGGATCGAGGTTCAAAGCCAGCCCTGGCAGGAAAAGTCCATGAGACTCATCTCCAATAAACCACAGAAAACCGGAAGTGGCACTGTTGGCGCAAGTGATAGAGCACTAGCCTTGAGCTGAAGAGCTCACGGACAGCACCCATGCCCACAGTTCAAGCCTCGAGACCAATAAAATAAATAAATAAATTTTAAAAAATTAACTTTTTGTGGGGGAGACAGGATCTCACTATGTAACCCAGACAGGATCTCACTATATAACCCAGGCTTGACTTGAACTTACCAGGCTGACTTCAATTTGCAATCCTCCTACCTTAGCCTCCTGAGTACTGAGATTACATTTACGTATCATCACATGGTGGCTTTGATTGGTCTTAATTGGCGTGTTTTCTTTGATTATGCATTGTATTTTCCTGCCTTTTTGTAGTTCTTATAATCTTTGAGGAAGAATTGGATGTTAGATATATATTATGAATCTTCTACAAAACTTGCTAGTTTTATATTCCTATAAATCTTCTTGAGCTTTGCTTTGGGAAGTGTTAAATTACCAGGAAATAGTTCTGATCCATCTGAGTCTTGTTTTTAAAGTTTTGTTTTTGTTTTTTTCCCCTGGTCATGGGGCTTGAACTCTGGGCCTGGGCGCTGCCCCTCATCTCTTCAGCTCAAGGCTAGCATTCTACCACTTGAACCACAATGCCACTTCCTAGATGTTTTTCTGCTTATGTGGTGCTGAGGAATTGAACCCAGGGCCTCATGCATGCAAGGCAAGCGCTCAACCACTGAGCCACCTTCCCAGCCCTTGTTTTTAAAGTTTTTAAGAAAGGACCAGAGAGTGATTAGGGCAAGTTTTTTGAACCTTAGCACTATTGACATTTTAGATGAGGTAATTCTCTGTGGTGACAACGTGGTGCGTGTACACAACAGAATTCTAATGAACTTAAAAAAAAGTCTGTCATTTGCAGCAACATGGGTAAATATGGAAGACATTCCACTAATGAAATAAGCCACACACAGAAAGACAAGTATTGCATGATTGCACTTAAATGTCATCTAGAAAAGTAGCATATATAGAAACAGAACATAGAATGGTGGTTAGCAGAGGCTGAGATTGGGAAAACCTGGGATTGGGAAAATGTTGGTTAAAGGATACAGATATAGTTAAATAGGGAGAAGTTCAAGAGAGTTATCATGCTACATTGTATCTGTTATTAATATCGCTGTATAATATATTTGAAAATTGCTGCTAGAATAGGTTAAATGTGTTCTCATCACAAATAGCTGTAAGTATGTGAAGTAATTCCTATGATAAATAGCTTGACGTAGCCATTCTGCAATGTAAACAGTCTTCCAGAAACTGGAGTTGTGGTTCAAGTGGGAGCGCAATGCCCAGGACTCCCCAGTTCAAGCTGCAGTACAGCGCAAAAACAGAAACAACCCCCCCCCCAAAACCGTATGAGTCTGAGTTCAAACTCCAGCACTGGCACACACACACAAAAGCAAACATACAAGAAAAACATTCTTCCAACATTCTGTTTTGAACCATTAATGTGCAATTTTCTGTGAATGAAAAATAGTTTTAAAAAATTATTTCCTGTTTGTCTGGTTGCAGAGGG